TGGTTTTCTGCTGTTCCTTTTTTCACCCTAAACTGTAGCGAATGTTTTCCTAAGTTTAAAAAATAATTTGATAAATATTGTTTTAAATAGTTGCACAGTCTGTTATTTTGATAACCACAGTTTATTTAACAAGTTTCCTTTTTTTGGATATTGTTTGTAGTGTAAAATTCTGTAAATAATGCTATGATGGGCAGCTGAATGAAATTTTAAGAGAATTTCAAAAATTTTGGTAGCGTGGAAGCATAGTTTGGGTGAATATTCAGTTTCTCAAGGTTATAGACTTCAGGCAGAATATGTTTGAATAGGTAAGGGCCAATGTAATTTTTTTTTTTTTTTTTTTTGATAAAACCATATTGTCTTATAGTCATTTCTCAGAATATTAGATCATGTGAAATAATATTCTCAGTGTGCTCTGATTATACAGATATTGAGTATATGCAATCCTGAGTGCAGTATTTGAAGATGAACATTAAGTGGATGGAGATGATGCAAGTTGATAAGGAGGGTTGTTGGAACGGTCAGGATTTTCAGAATTGTTTAAAATAAGGAGTAACTGAAGAAATTAAGGAGAAAAGAGAACTAAGTAAAAACAAGCAATTGTCACGTTTAAAACTCTGCCCTGTCTTCCTGCTACCTTTTCTCACCTTTCTCAGCTCCTGTCCCTCTTTATCTTATACTCCTTTCATCTCCCTTCACCCACTCTTCTCCCTTCCTCCTTCCCAGTTTTTAATTGATCATTTACTATGCCTTCCCAATTTTTAATTGAATCATTTACAGAAAGTATATTAGGTTAGGTGTGATGGGCATAATAGATATTGACTGTGTGGTCTTAGGGTTTATCTTAATGGGGAAGATTGATATTAAATTAATCATGCCAAAAATTATATAGTAATAAACTCTGTGCTTTATGAAGGACTTTGAGGAAAAGACATTTAAGCTTAGACCCAAAGGAGTCAACAAATATTTATTGAGCCCTTATTATGTATGCAGTAGGCACTGTTTGCTAGGCGCTTGAGATAGAGAATTGAACTGGATGCAGTCCATGCCTTCAATGACCTTACAATGTCAGCGTAAACATATAACAAAATAAATAAGTTTAGATAATGATACTAGTAAGAAATTCTGTGAAGAAAATAAAAAATGATAACATGATAGTGTTTGGCAACAGTCATGGAAGGCCTCTCCGAGGAGACGTTTGTATGATTAGAAAGAAGGTAGCCATGAGAAGATCTGGGGACATAATATTCTAATCAGAAGGGACATCTAATACAAAAGCCCTGAGAAAGGAGGACCTTATATGTTAAAAAGAACAGGAAAAAGCCCTTGTGACTGGATCATAGTAAAAACGAGTTAGAGAGGAATAGAGGAAAACCAGGTGAGAGAGATAGGCAGGACCCATACTGCTGAAGTCCTTATTGGCCATGATAAGAAGTTTAGATTTTATTCTTTTTGCAGTGGGACACTATTAGATAGTTTTGAGAAGGTGGGGGGGGGATGACTTGCTTTACACTCTTGAGAGGATTGCTTTGGCCGTATACAGAGAGTAGAGCTTAGAGAGTTAAAAGCAAGGCAGAGAGACAGTTTAGCAGATCAGGTGAGATGTAGTGTAGTGGTGTGTTGCACTGGGACTTTAGGAGGGAGCATAGGGATAATTGATGGAATTTGTTAGATATTTTAGAGGTAAAGTTGACATATTGGATGGTGACATGTATTCGATAATTTGTAGGGTTATTTTTCTTGAGCAACTTGATAGATAGTAGTGCCATTTACTTACATGATGAAGACTTGGAGAGGATCATATTGGGTGAAATGAGTTGTTTTGCCATGCTAAGTTTTAGATACCTATTAGACATATAAGAAGTTGGATATGTATTACTACAGCTCAGAGGAGCAATTGGGACGATGGTGTCAATTCTTTGAGTGTTCCAGACATCCCTAGGCAGAGTAATGCATTTCTTTTTCTGTGTTCCAGTACCATCTTTTAGTAGATAGTATTTTTCGTATCATTTATTATATTGCTCTGATTGTTTATGTGTCTGTCTTTTCCTAAGGCCTGGGTTCTGTTATGTTTCTCACAGTAGCTCAGCTTCTGGTACATAGTAGATATTTAATAAATGGTTGGTGAATATATCATTTATTTTCTCTGTCACTAGATCCTGTCAGTTTTATCTGTCAGGTGTTTATCAGATCCATTTCTGTCTTTCTGTCGCTATTTGTTAGTATCAGTACATTTTAAAGGGTTTTTTTGTTTCTGTTATTGTTGTTTGTTTGGTTGTTTTGTTTTTAAGCAGTAGAACTCATTATTAAAACCTCAGTGCGGAACCTTAATTATATGAAGGTATCAGCTAGGGATTGGATTCATCACTATTAATAAGAGATCAGACTGTAATGGCTCAAATATGTAAGGGTTTCTTTTTTTTCAAGTAATGACTCGTTGGGAGGTGGATGGCTTCTGGTATTGAATCAGTGGTTACGTATACCAGGGTCAAGATGTCTGAGGTGCTCTTGGCCTTTGCCTCACAGGGAAGGAGAGTGATGCTGAATTGGGCCTGAATGGGTGCCGTAGAATTTAAATAAAACGTGAAATATAGTGTGGTGTTATTCAAGTGTAGGGTAATTGAACTTAAAAAAACCAAGCCCCTTGGCATTGAGTCGATTCTGATTCATGGCAGCCAGACTAACTTGAACTTAGTTTGTTTAAATTTAATAAATTGATGACTATTTTAAGATAGGAAGTTGAGTAGAAAAGCAAAAGAGAATAAATAAGAGATTTCACCAGTCTAAAGAAATATGACTGGATAACCAAAAAATGTGGTAGGAGCAGAAAACCAAAAAATCACAAACCCGTTGCTGTCGAGCTGATTCCAACTCATAGCGATGCTATAGGACAGAGTAGGACTGCCTCATAGGGTTTCCAAGAAGCAGATGGTGGTTTCCAGCTGCCGACCTTTTGGTTAACAGCCAACTTCTTAACCACTGTGCCACCAGGGCTCCAAAGGAGTATTAAAGAGACGAGATGTCTGACATTAAGCTTTTAGGTCTGCTGAGCTGGCAGGATAGTGGTACTGTTGAAGATGATGGGAAAGCATAGGGGAGAAGTGATATGGAAGTGCAGGAGTAGATTATTAACGTTTGTGTTACAGCATGAGAGTCTGAATAGAAGATGATCACAATGGTTAAAATGGCCGATGGTTGTTTTCTTAGATAAGGGTAGTCAACGCAGAAGGGGGAATAACTCCTTGAGGCCTTTCTTGAACTCTGAGGTTCATAACCAAGAATCTTGGACTTATTTGTGATGATCTAGGTGAATTTATGAACGTTCTAAAGAGTTTTAGTTTATTGGACTTTTAAGTGTCATTAATGTAAACTTGTTAATAGTTGGGAACATTTTGATTCCATAGTTCATGTTTGGTGCCTTTCATTTAATGTTATTTGAAAATTGGTTAATTTTACTAAATATGCAGCAACACAGCATTCTTTCTTTATCTCCACATCAAATGTTACAGATTTATTTTAAAATCTTAAGTGCTTTATTGTTCTATTAAACAAGCTAATAATCCTTTTTTTTAAGGTACAGCAGGGAAGAACTGGAAATTCAGAGAAGGAAACAGCACTTCCATCTACAAAAGCTGAGTTTACTTCTCCTCCTTCTCTGTTCAAGACTGGACTCCCACCAAGCAGGTTAGTTAGACAGTTGTAACTCACATTTATTGTAAGACACTGACATCTTTACATTGCATTAGTGCTATATAAAGTATAAATGGTCTGAATGTTCTTCAGAAAAACTGGAATATTCTACGTTTGTTTTTGTACAGAATGAATTCTTTGTGAAAAACTCTTCTGAATGCTATTCCAGCTTTAAAAAAAACCTAGATAAGCAAGAAATAAAGAATGGTCTGTAGTTCCTGTATGTCTAAAGAGACAACGGTCTTATAGGAGACATGAAGACAACAACAGTGGTCTTGCTGTTTTCTGTGCTTATTATCCTCACATAGAGATTTATTGGATTTTCTTAGTCTAAATCTATTGGCCTAAAGGTGTCTTAATGATTTTAGTAAAGGAGGTTGTATAAAATTGAGCCTGGAAAAATCGTATTAAAAGCATTTTCTTTTCTATCTTTGCTATGATGTGATAATACCTAACTTTGTTTTCCGAAGGGTACCAATTGTAAGAGGCAAATATGCTGGCAGATGTCCTTTTAACTTAACAGTGACAAATGGTCACTCCATTATCTCATTACCAGGAAAATGGTAAAGGGTACCCTAAGACGAGGGAAGTTTGATGTCAGCAGTTTAATCTTAGGTTAAAGATGACCTAAATCAGTTATTTCTCCAGACCTGCAACTAGTCAGTAACAACTATTATGTCTTAGCCAGATTGTTTACTTTTTGTGTTACTTATTTAAATTTATTTTATACAGTTTTCTGTTTTTGTTATTCTACAGTTTTGTATTTGCCAGCTATGAGATTATATTTCATAGGAAGAGACCTTATGGGAGCATCCAGTTTAGCCTTAAGATACAGATGCTTAAAGCTTTCAGCCAAAATTAAATGTCTGAAAGCCATCAGGGATTTTAACTGTTAACAATAACTAGTCATGGGTATTTCCAGTTGTGATTGTTTAACTAAACCCAATCTCATGAAATGTTTGGCCAAAGAAGTTATGATAGTGGAGGAATATTGATCCTTTCCTTTAATATGTAATATGCTTTTGGTTTCTGCATTTTAAAAAAGGGGTCAGCTTTCATCACTGAGCTAATGGTGTTCAACGGAAGAGTGCTATTAAAGGGCTTAGACTCCGGGATTCAAATTCTGGCTCTAGTACTTAGTAGCATTGTGCCTCCATTTCTTAATCTATAAAATGTAGTAATAGCATTTCACTCACAGGGTGGATATGTAGATTAAATGGACTAATTTATGTAAAGTGTTTAGAACAATGCCTGGTACATAGTAAATAACTTTGTAGCTGTTTGGTATTATCATCATTATTATAAGTAATACTTAAAAATTAGTAGCCTTTATTAGTTTTTCCACACTTTACCTTCTATCACTCCCCACCCCCTGGGCCAGATTATGTAGGGCCTTCTGCCATTTTAAGAACTTTGGCTTTTCTTAGAAGTAAAACAAAAGGGGAGTCCCCATCAGAATTTGAGCAGAGGAGTGATATAATCTGATTTCTCAGTTTATCTGCTTTATTAAGAACAGGCTACAGAAAGGCTAAGGGAGGAAACAGGGAGGCCAGTTAGGAGGGTGTAGCAGTTATCTATGTAAGAGATAATGGTGACTTGGACCAAGGTGGTAATGGTGGAGATGCTGAGAAGTAGTCAAATTCTGCCTGTCTTTCAAAGGATGAGCCAATATGAGATCTTGAATGTGGATTGTAGAGAAAGAGAAGTCAAGGATGAGTCCAACTTTTTTGTCCTGAGCAACTCAGCCAGAAAGGTGGATTTGTCATTTACCGGTATGAAAGAGACTACAGGAGGTGTGGTTTTTAGAGGGAGAAGACTGATAAAATAAATTTGAAATGCCTATTATACATACGAATGGAAAATTTGAATAGGCAGTTGAATATATGAGTCTAGGGGAGATGGGAAAGGTACGGGCTGGAGATATAATTTGGGAGTTTTCAGAGTTTAAATAGTATTTGAAGCTATGAGACTAAGTTAGACTGCAGAGAGGTGAGTATTGATAGAGAAGTGGTGAGAGGACAGAGCCTATGGGCATTCCCTTTCAGGTCAGAAAAGTAAGGATGAACCAGTGACAGAGACTAAAATAAGGAGGAATGACTAGTGAAGTAGGAAGAAAACTTAGTATATGTTTTGAAAAGGATGTGTTTTCAAAGAAGGAAAAATGATCAACTTTCTAGTACTACTAATTGACCAAGTAAAATGAAGATGAGGAATTGACTATTGGTTTAAAAATGTGGGGGTCATTGGTGATCCTGACGAGGATCATTTTCAGTGGTAATGGTGAAGATAAAAGATTTATTGAATTGAGTTCAGTAGAGAATGGGAGGAGAAGAATTAGAAACCAGTGATTTTTTTTTTCTTTTTTCTTTTTTTGCCCTAAGAGGTTGGAAATAGGACAGTAGCTATGAGGAAATAGGGATGTGTGGGGTCAGGAAAAGGTTTTTCTGACATGGAAGAAATTACAGTGTATTTGTATACTGAGAAAATGAGTTATTACAGGGGAAATTGATGATGCAGGGAGTGAGAAGGGATAGTTGTTAGATCAGTGTCTTTAAGGAGGCCAGAGGGAGTGGGATATAATATGCAAGTGGAGGGGTTAGCTTTAATCAGCATCGTGAACAGTTCATAGCACTAGGGAAAGCTCCAGTGCAGGTGGGCGTGTACAGAATGGTGATAGGAACAACTGAAAGTTATTTTCTGATTGCCTCAGTTTTTTTCACAGCAAAATAAGATGCAGACCTATTTGGTCAGAGTGAGGATAGTTGAAGAAGATGTTAGAGGTTTGAGAAGAGAGGAGAAGGTCTGTAACTTGGGGGTTTGTGAATAAACTACAAGAAATACATAGGATTGCTAAGCAGTAGCTGGAGGGAAATGTGGGGGGGTCAAGAGAGGACTGTTTTCAAGATGGGAGAAATTACAGCATTTTTATATGCTGATGGAAATGAGTAAGTAGAGTGAAAAATTGATGACATAGGGAGAGACTGTACATTTGCAGCATTTTTTGAGGTAAATAGTCATGGGTTTAAAATGAGACAAGTCAGCTTGCTCTTATGTGTGTTTCTCTTGTCATTGTCCAGTATGCTTGTGTTCATGCAGAGTAGCTAGAGTTGGGTTTAACGGGTTAGTTAACAAGCATATATGACAAAGGGATAGAAGGGCAAGGAGGATGAGGGAGTGATTTATAAACAAAGACTGATTCTGAGGAGAAATGGAGACAGTAAGGAGAGATGAGAGGACAGAGGGGAGTAAGGGACAGTAAAAAGAGGTAAAGAAATGATAGAAAAATTAGCAGGTCCATCACTAATACTAAAGGAAGAATGGATAATTACCACCACAACTTGTAGTAACACGCAGAATGTCAATTCTGTCACTTTTGGATATAAAGGAAAGTACCTATTGCTTAGGAGTCCTGGTGGTGCAATGGTTAAGAGCTCAGCTGCAAACCAAAAGGTTAGCGGTTCGAATCTACCAGCTGCTCTTTGGAAACCCTATGGGGCAGTTCTACTCTGTCCTGTAGGGTTGCTGTGAGTCGGAATCAACTCGGCAGCAATATGTTTTGTTTTACCCATTGCTTATTGGGAAAGTTTGTTTTCTGGGTTCATCTTTGATTGATCAAGAGGATACTTTTCAGTCATTATGAAATAAATTTCCCTAAATTTATTTTATATATATTTCCCTAATACAAATACTGTGCTGTTTTTCTATTTTACTCATTATGTTTATAGAGATTGGAGAGACATCTTTGAAAGTAAAATTTTTTTGACTTCAGGGAGAAGACAGTAATCTCATTTGTTATTAAGACATAATAGAGGCTGCACAGCAGATATTTAAAAGTAATGAACTATTGACCTCAGCAGTATATTTGCATTGTTTAAAATCTTAGATTGTTTTGTTAATGTATAGATGGTCATTGGTAGTGTTTGCACACAACTTTTTTTAAATGATTTTTTTGCGCTTTTTCAGTAGAAATCCTGGGTTTCTAACTTTCTATACTGCCAAGCTTTTTGTGCTGCTCAGCAAATTGGCATACTTAAGTCAAATGTTGTATTTACTATTTATACATATGGGAATGTTGTGCTTAATCTTTAAAAGTTTTCGTATTATTTACTCTATTTTTGAAGTACATACATACAGAAAAGTGACATAATGAATATACAGCCTGATGAATTTTCACAGATCAAACACATCCATATAACCAGCACACAGATCAATAAACAGCATTACCACTGCTCCTCAGAAGTCTCCCTGTGTTCCCTTCATTCATTGTTTTAATTTAATGTTTTGGGGAAAATTCAAACTTACAGAATTGTAAAAGTACAAAGAACTTCTGTATACTGTTCACCAAGATTCAGCAGTTAATATTTTGCCAGGTTAGCTTTATAATTTATCAAAAATATGTTTGTTTTTTTAAACCATTGAGATATTATAGACATCATGCTCCTTTACCCCTAGGTGCTTCAGCATGTATTTCCTTAGAACAGAAACATTCTGTTATATAATCATAGTATAATTATCAAATTCAGAAAATCTGATATGAATCAGTTCTTTTGTCTAATATACAGGACATATACAAATTTTTGTCAGTTATTCCAATAATATGTTTTATGGCAGTTCTTTTCTTTCCCTGTGTCCAATGCAGGATCATTCATTACATTGAACTCTTTATATCTCTTTTATCAGTGACCAGCTACCATTGAGTCAGTTCAGACTCATGGTGACCCCATGTTTTTAAGAGTAGAACTGAGTTCTGTAGGGTATTTTTTTTTTTTTTTTTAATATTATGATTTTGGAGAAAATTTACATAGCAAATTGGGTTCTCATTTAAAAATTTCTGTACATTGTTCAGGCGCATTGGTTATACTTCTCACAGTGTGTCAGCATTTTCATTATTTCCATTCTGGTTGTTCTGTTTCATTAATCTGGCTTTCGTGTCCCCCCTTGCCTCCTCATCTTTGGTCTAGGGTGGATGTTGACTGTTGAGTCTTGTTTAGATTATTGTTTAGAGAAGCATAGTACTCACGGGTGATATTATTTATTTTATGAGCCACTCTGTCTTTTGGCTAATAGGTGACCTCTGGGAGTGGTTTGAGTTCCAAGTTTACAGGATATTCCAGGGTGATAGTCTCAGGAGTTCTTCTGCTAGTCTCTACTAATCCAGTAAGTCTGACCCTTTTTAGGAATTTGGGATATGTTCTACATTTTTTTCCCATTCTATCTGGGATCATCTGTTGTGTCCCTGGTCGGAACTGTTGGTAGTGGTAGCTGGGCCATGAGGTTTTCAATGGCTGATTTTTTTTGTAAGTAGATTGCCAGGCCGTTCTTCTGAGATGCCTCTAGGTAAACTCCAACCTGTCAGTTAGCAGAGCATGTTAACCATTTGCACTACACAGGAACTCTGTCCTAGTCATCTAGTGCTCCTATAACAGAAATAGCAGAAATGGACGGCTTTAACAAAGAGAAATTTGTTGTCTCATAGTATAGGAGGCTAGTAGTCCAAATTCAGGGCGCCAGCTCCAGGGGAAGCCTTTCTGTCTCTGTTGACTCTGGGGGAAGGTCCTTGTCATCAATCTTGTCATCAGTCTAGGAGCTTCTCAGCACAGGGACCATGGGTCCAAAGGATGCGCTCTGCTCCCAGCTCTCCTTTCTTGGTGGTAGAAGGTTCCTCTGTCTCTCTTCTCACTTATCTTTTTTTATATCTCAAAAGAGATTGACTAAAGATGCAACTTAATCTTGTTGATTTTGAGTCCTGCCTCATTAATGTAACTGCGTCTTATCCTGCCTCTAATCCTTCGCCATTAACATCATAGAGGTAGGATTTACAATACATAGGAAAATCCCATCAGATGACACGGTGGTGGACAGTCACACAGTACTGGGAATTATGACCTTGCCAAGATGACACACAGTTTTGAGGGACACAGTTCAATCCATAAGAGACTCTTTATATTTCTTTAGTCTTCTTTAATCTGGAAGAGCTTCTCAGCTTTTCTTTGTATTTGTTGACATTGAATTTTATAAGAATAGATTTCAGTTGTTTTGTATATAGTCCCTCAATCTGGGTTTGCCTGATGTTTCCTCATTATTAGATTCAGGTTTTGCTTTTTAGCATGAATCCTAAATAAGTGATACTGTGTCCTTTTCAGTGCATCAGACTGGAGGTGCATGAAGCTAGTTTGTCCTGTTATTAGTGATGATAACTTTAGCCACTTAGTTGTGGTGGTGTCCTTCAAAGTTACTATTTTCCCCCTTTGTATTTACTAATCAGTGGGGAGACTGTAAATAATCTCGTTCCTCTTCAGACTTTCCAAAAATTCTAGGATCTGTTGATGATTTTTTGCCTGAATCAATTATTACTATAATGGCTGCAAAAGAGTGACTGTCTAACTCTGTTATTCCTTCTATATTTATTAGTTGACATTCTTCTTTAAAAATGAACTTTCCCACTCCTTCCACTTGTTAATTTATTATCATTTTAGACTCATTAATTTGTAGATATGTGTGTGTATGGCTTATAAGTATGACTTTTTTTGTAACTTGTGTGTATATATGATTTATGTATACTTTCACTCATTTTCATATTCAAATTGTCCAAAATTTGGCCAGTGGGAGTCCTTTTGACATCTCCCCATCGTTTTTTGAGGATTTTTTTTACTTTGTGGTATTACTAAGATGTGTTCCAGGCTTATCTTATACTTTGCCTGCCCCATCCCTAGAGGCAATCATTTCTCGAAGGTGCCCTGATTCCTTTTAATAGGAAATGGTAATTAGAAACCAAAATCTGAGTGCTAGCTATGCTCATTGCTGTTATTGTTGTTAGGTGCCCTCGAGTCAGTTCCAGCTCATAACAACTCTGTGTGTAACAGAACGAAGCACTTCCCAGTCCTGAGTCATCCTCACAATTGTTATGTTTGAGCCAGTTGTTGTAGCCACTGTGTCAGTACATCACATTAAATTTCTTCCTTCAGTACCATTGGTTCTTGATCATATGCTACTGCCTGAAATAACTGAACATTGACCAGTTCATTTGGTGCAGTGACTCTGTATCCTTTCCATTTTCTTTGATGCTTCCTGTGTCATTCAATATTTTCCCCATAGAATCCTTCAGTATTTCAAGTAGGGGTTTGAATTATTTCTTCAGTTCTTTTAGCTTGAGAAATGCTGAGTGTATTTTTCCCTTTAGGTTTTCTAATTCCAGGTCTTTTGCACATTTCATTATAGTATTTTACTTTGTCTTCTTGAGCTGCCCTTTGAATTCTTCTGTTCAGCTCTTTTACTTCATCATTTCTTCCATTAACTTTAGCTACTCTACATTTAGGAGCAAGTTTCACAGTCTCTTCTGATACCCATTTTGGTTTTTTCTTTCTTTCCTGTCTTTTAATGACCTTTAGCTTTCTTCATGGATGATGGCCTTGATGTCATCTCACAACTTGTCTGGTCTTCTGTCATTAGTATTCAATGCATCAAATCTGTTCTTGAGATAATCTCTAAATTCAGGTGGAATATACTCAAGGTTGTACTTTGGCTGTCATGGAGTAGCTCATTGCTACTGGAGTGTAATTATTTCCAAACCTTTTCAGCAGTCAGAGCTAGGAAAAAATAGCATTTTTAATATGAAATTGCCACAGGTATATTTAAAATAAATTTAATCATGAATTCATGATTCTTTTCCTTCCAGTTCAATACCACAGGGCCTTGTTTCATATTGCATCTTCCTTTACATATGGTGAGAACTTGGCTGCCAACAGCTTTAATATAGATGCTCGTGTTCTTAATCCTAAAATATGCACTAAACGGATTCAGAACTTCTGCACCTAGCGCTACAAAAAACAAACCTATTAAATAGAGTTCAAGGTTTGTTTGCAATTCTTTTTTTTATTTGCATGAGAATTATATTTTAATTTTTTGAAATTTATGCTTTGACAACATAAATAGGAAAAATTTCACAATTGAAAGACGTGGATAAAATACGCAAATCCAACTCTATGCTATTTACGTGAGATGCATCTAAAACAAATACATAAAATGATTGAAAATATCCAGCGGATGAAGATAATGTCAGGCAACTGTTCCACTCTTTTCTTTTTTCTTATTTTAGATTGAGGGTATATAGTCACAATATTCTGTTCAAAGTTTTCTTCAGAGTGGTTTATTTCAGTCATTTAAAATACAGTTTTTTTGTTCATTGTTTCTGTTTGTGCAGTTCTTTTCCTCCATGCTTGTTGATTTAATTTTTTTCTAAACAGGCTTATTTTTTTGAGCACTTTTAGGTTTACAGAAAAATTGTGCACATTGTACAGAAAGTTCCTGTATACCTGTTTTTTATTTAATTTTATTTTTTGTATATATAAAACATTTAGCATAGTTTCAAAGGTGAGGTTATTTGAAGGTATACTTGGAATTATCACTCTTTTCCCTATTTTTTTCAACCCTGTTGATAACCAGTTTTATTTCACTTAGTTTGTGGTTTATCTCTCCTGTGTTTATTTTTACATAAACATATATATATATATATAAAAATACGTAATTTTTTTTTCTATTGCTTTGAAATAGCATTTTACTAGTCTTACAAGCATTTGCAAGAAGGTAAATAGCTGAACTTTTCATGGAGTATGTTGCTGGGGTTACAGTTAACTTTCTTTAGAATTTTACTTTCAAAGAATTAAGTTATTTTGAGGTAGAGTTTTTATAAAGTAGCTATTTAGTGTAGCTTTTTTATGGAACATACCAGTGTTACTGTTAACTGGTTGCACTGATAATACTTTTCCTTGTTACTGAAGAATATAAGGAAAGAAATAACAAAATTTCAAATATTCTGTGAAACTGCAGAAATTAATATTATTCATTCATGAAAGCACAGAAATTTATGTCTTATAACCTGAAATAAGCCCTTGGTTCTTTTTTCAATTCTGCATTTCGACATGATACTGTCTGTGCTGAAGAATATTTCTAAAAATATTCTAGATTTCATGAAATGTCTATAATATGTCTTTTTAAATATTAGTAGTAGTCTTAGTAGCAAAGCAATTATATGACTTGAAGAGAATGATACTATAGGAACATGCTACAGAGCTTTTGAAATAGTATGTCAAGAAAAGAAACAGAACAAGGGGGGTCAGGGACAACAATATGTAAGAAAAAACATAGAAAATTTATCTCACCAGAAACAGCACCTCTTCTCAGTCTCAGACAAGTACTGCCTCCAGAAAAGCCAATTCAAGCGTTGGGAAGTGGCAGGATCGTTATGGGAGGGCCGAATCACCTGATCTAAGGTAAGGCTTGTTTTTAAACATTGGATACTCTCTGATATTTAGATCTTTGGTGTTGTTTTGTCTTATTAGTGAGATAATAAATTTTGATTAGACTGCACCATATTTTTACCCCTGAAATTATCCCTTTTCAGTATAGAGTTTAAGTTACCTCTGAATCAGGCTGTATCACCTCATGTCTCACCTTTCCTCCCTCTGGCCTTTTATTATACATAATAAATTGCATGGAACCACCTTAATGAGTGCTCATTAAATGTTTTCTTCTCCTTGCTGTAGATTTGATTTTTCTTTTCTCATATCACACCCTGTTCAGAAATCCCCTGGAACTTTCTACTACCTACTGAATAAAATCTAACCTACTAAGCCATTATTTAGGACCTACAAAATTTGACTTCACTGCATCTTTCCAAGTTTTATATACAATTATTTTACTGCATAAACCTGCCGCTCCATTAAGTTGGGTCTATCAGCTGCCCTAGGATGTACCATTACCTTAATTGATGCTATGCTTTTACTCATGATTCACCCTGGTTAGAATTTTGGTTTGTTTTCTAAATCTTATGTTTACTAAGCATACACCCTTACACGGGTAATGTAATCTCTCTGAGCCTATAAAATGGGAATGATAACTTCTACTGTAAGGGATGTAGTGAGATGCAGGTATGTTAGGGTATGAAAGTAGTTTACCAACAGTATTCAATCTGAAAGATTATATTTATGCCTGATTTGGAGATACAGACCACAATACTTCCCAGTTTACCATTTGAGGTTTTAAACATTTATGGTATATGTAGGATGATTTTGTTTGCTGTTATTCTGCTTTTGTTGTCCAGAAAACTTTCTTCCTGAACGGCTTGATGCTACATTAATATGCCTATAATTATTTTAATTTGCAAACTTGTAAATATGTAAATTATGAAGAGATACTGATGTATCTAAAAGACAAGTGGCAGGAAACGGTATCAAAATTTGATTTTCTTGATTTCCTTTTCTGTGGGGTCTAAATTGTATATTATGCATGAATTGTAAGAGTTTCTAGTCAACTTGCTTTGATTGGATTTCCTATTAGGACAGAGTAAGCTTAGTTATTCTCAAAAGCGGGTATCCATCTTAAAGTAAAAAATATTTTAACTTTTTGAAGAATATCGAAACAAAAGTATGTCTAGTCATAGAAGAGATAAAACTGTTATCTATATTCTTAAGATAGTATCAGTTGCATGTATTGCTTTAGCTGACTATAGAATAAGAGGTTGGAGAGCACTATTATTTTTAAAGGAGCCCTGGTTGCTCACTGGTTAAGAGTTCAGCTGCTAACCAAAAAAGTCGGCAGTTAGAATCCACCAGCTGTGCCTTGGAAACTCTGTGGGGCGGTTCTTTGTCCTATAGACATTTTTCCATTTGTATTATATTGATTGATCTTTGCTTTTAAAACCAAAATAGTCTTGAAAAAAACAACAGAAACAAATTTTCAAAAGAGTTATTTTACACAGAAGTGTGGAGTGTTTTATACAGTTTTTCACATTTGACATTTTGGTGGAAATTTCCATGTACTAATTAACTTGATTATTATAGCACATAGTGCATAGAGAAACACTTGAACTTACATTTCAGTAACCTGGCAGTAACTCGGACCTCCTATTTACTGATCCCAAAAGAACTGGACATTAAGATACTTCATTATAAATTCATCATCACTGCTATAGTGATAATGGATCAGTAACTATCTTTGCGTATAAAGAATGATTACTTTTCTTAAACTTACAGCTGTTTCTTGGCAGAAGTGTTGGATTTGAATTTTATGTTTGGTTTTGTTAGTAACTACCTCTGTGAATTTAGGCAAGTTTCTTAAAGTCTCTAAGCCTCAGTTTCCACATTTGTAAAATGATGGGGCTAAACTGTGTCATCTGAAAGTCCCCTTCAGTCTTGAAATTCTTTGTTTTCTGGCTAGTCCCCAGTTGACATAGAAAAGGAGATATGAGAAATAGGGAATTTACCCAAATTCACAGCTAGTTAACAGGCAAAGCCAGGACTAGTTTTCTGCCTTTTAGTACGTGCAGTTCAGGCAAGTTTACTTTTATAGGCAAAGGTGTAGAAATGTTTTAAGATCAGATATTTTTCAAGATAATTTTTAACTTCATATTTGTTTTGCTTTATTATGTTGTAACATCTGAAATTCCTTTTTATAGCAATCTTTTGACTTAGAATTGTTTTTTTACTTAAGATAGGCTTTTGCGATAATACTTTATTTCTGGAAATAAGATGGCTAGTTTATAGAGAAAATATTAGTTCTGATATCTGAAAGTAATAGATCTCAGTGTTTACACTGTATAACCCCTCACATTCCCTCCATCACCTCTACCCCCCTAAAAAAAAAAATCCTTGGAAACACAGAAAACTCCCCACTCTGACCTTGTGATTAATCTCTAATTAGTGGGAAATTCGGCACTGTATTTTCACTTTGTATTTTGTGCTTTTGAATATTCCAAAGATAGATAAGTAAACGAATATCCAAAACCAGTTGTCATTGAGTTGACTCCAACTCATGGTAATCCCATGTGTGTCAGAATAGAACTGTGCTCCATAGGTGTTTTTCAGCGGCTGATTTTTCGGAATTAGATCGCCAGACCTTTCTTCCAAGGTGCTGCTGGGTGGACTTGAACCTCCAACCTTTTGATTAGCAGCCAAATGTGTTAACCGTTTGCACCACCTAGGTATTCCAAATAAATGAATAAAACCCTAGATAAAAGCCCTTTTTTGTTTTTAAATATGTAGTATACACATTCTTACAGTAAAAGATAGAAAACTAGTTTTCAGTTCTTGCGCGTAATATAACTGAGAAATATGGAAATTTTTTGATTTATTTGTAAAGGACAAATAAGCAGTGGTTGAAATCTTTTCAAAAGTTACTTTATTTGAAGAATCTGATTTATCTTATGCTGATCCTTCCTAATTTGTACAATAGTGTTTTCCAGACTCTAACAGTACTCTTTAAGCTAATTCTACCTGTGTAAAACAATGACATTTTATTGGTGTAAATTTGCTTTTTTATAAATTCAGATTTGTAACTCTTGCAAAGCCAATTAGTAGGAAGAATGAAGCAGTTTTAATGAACACAAAGATTGAAATTGGCAGTATGGTTGACTGCTGTAATCTTATCCTTAATGTCTAGTTTATTTATGTATGTCATTTCCATTTTATAATAGCAAATTCTGCTTGGGTAATTTAGTTGGAAATATTAGATTTTTTGAGCTTGTTTTCAGTATTAGAATGCTTTTTAACTGATTCAGACTCTTAAAAGAGGAATAGTAAAAGTTTCTTTTCAGTGTTGAATCACTAAATATTTAAACCTGCTTGCATTTCTTCTAATAGACAAAAATACCACAGTTAATAATAATAAACTTAAACCAAAACCAAACCAAACCCGTTGCCGTGGAGTTGATTCCAACTCATAGCGACTTTATATAGGACAGAGTAGAACTACCCCATAGAGTTTCCAAGGAGTGACTGGTGGATTGAACTGCTGACCTTTTGGTTAGCAGCGAAGTGCTTAACCAGGAACAGTGAACTTAAATCAGATGTTAAATCAGTATCATATCAAGAGTTCCTGTTCAGTTCTTGCATTGCTTACTATTACTGTTATGTCTTAATGAGATAATATACTGGAAAGCTGTGCGTGTACCTTTGTGTCGTTTGATTGAGCGTGATGTGTGTAGCTTGTAAGATTTTATGTGACTAGACATATGAAGCCCTTTATTTATTTATTTTTTAAGTTCCCTATAGAGCTATATCTTTTCCTGTCATTGACACATTTAAAAGCATGAAATTAAGCATTAAAGATGACAGACAAAGCTTTATTCCAGGCTCTACATAAAAGTGAGTTAACTTGGCTTCACTAATGAACATGTTTATGTCCTCCAGTGAGTCAGTTATTAGCATATTATACATTTTAGCATTCAGAGTTTTTTTGTTTTTAAAAACAGCTTAAAAAGTAACGTAACGTTTTTTAAATTCAGGTCCCCTAGTATGGAAAACACTCTCGTTGTGGAACACCAGTTGTGGAAGAGGAAAGGGTCTTGGAGTTGGTCATACCTGAGCCTGAATCATGGTGTTGTCAGTTTACTACTCAAAAGAGCTTCTTTCCATCTCTGTAAAATGAAACTAATTAGACTTATACTTTTCTTTAAGTGTTCTTGTAAGGATTAAATCGTTGATAAGCTTATGAAAGCACGTGTTGCAGGACCTGAAAAATAAGATCAGGCACCTAAAAAATGTTGGTTCCCTTTGGACTTCTGCTCCCATCACAGGCTTTATCAGTGTCTTTAAATATAGCAGTAATAGAATTAAATTATATGTCATGAAGAAAAAGTTCTGTTTTTTTTTTTTGACATTTTTAGACAGAATTTTTGATTAATCTTTACCTGAAATATAAACATATTAAATTTTCTTTATAAATGATCTATGCACTGTGGAGAAAATTATTCTTGTGCTTATGAAAGTAAAAAATCAAACACAGGTATAGAAGCAGTACCATGTCAGTCCAGAAAACCTGAAACAGCAGTATAAAAATATGTAATGAATGACATCCTTACCTTAATTACTAGGCCTTGATGGGTAAGACTTCATATTTATTAAGTAATAAAAAATAAAATATTAATTTTTATCACCTACTTTACATTCTTTCTAGAGAAGAACAAAATATCTGCATCTCTTCCTTGGGCCTGCTTTTAGGGTTGTAGTCTTCAGTTTTGGCTATGTATTGGAATTATCTGGGGAACTTCAAGAAATTGATACTTGGGGCCGAGAGATTCTGATTTAGATAGTCTGATGTGCACCCTGGGCATCAGGATTTTTTAAAGCTCCCACAGATGATTCTGATATGCAGGTAAGGCTGAGAACCACTGATTTAGAGAATTGATTCTGGCATGAGATTAAAGTCAAATACTAACTTGGCAGCTTAGGTTTTTAAGTAAAATGATAAATTTAGCTATAAGAGCTATAAGGAGAACTGACATTTGTATAGCATTTTACAGCCTCACAGAATCCTTTCCTGTATGTGATCTTCATTTAGATTCTCTGCCTTTTTGAAAGTCTTTTAAGAGGTTCGTAACCACTCTCAAAGGTGGACTGTATTTCTTCTGTTGCAAGCAGATTGACAGTATAGTTTTCTGAGTTAGACTCCTGTGCATAATATTTTCCCCAGATCTTTTCTCTTTGCTCATCTTCTTTCCTTCATCTAAATGCCTTCTCTTGTGGCTAAATCCATCCTACTTTCAAGGCTGATCTCTTTCCTAAAGTAGTTTAAAAGATGTTATGCCAGTTTCCATGCAGAACTGTTACAGCTGTAGGTTTAGATATATGAACTCAGTTAGATATACTAAATGTGTCTGTCTTTAATGCGGGAATATGGACTAGCCATATTCTAGGTTTTTTCTTACAGAATAGACCCCAAACCAAAAAACCAAACCAGTTGCTGTTGAGTTTGTTCCAACTCTTGGCCACCGCACGTGTTTCAGAGTAGAACTGTGCTCTGGAGGGTTTTCAATGGCTGGTTCTTCAGAAGTAGATCACCAGGCCTTTCTTCCAAGGCACCTCTGGGTAGACTTAAACCTCCAACCTTTCGATTAGTAGCCAAGCACTGCTTCTTACTGAAAGCTCTGTTGTGAAAAAAAACAACATTCATAGGTTTCTGCAAGGATATGTGATTCATCCATTCCTTTAGAATAGTGGGCCTGAACAGTCTTTTAAGCATTGATGCTTGAAAATTTACTGCAAACTATGGACTCTCTTGTTTGAGAAATACATGTATACATATGCATTCAGTTTAGGAACCTCATGATCCCTCTTTAAAGAACTGTCTATGATAGTTAAGACTCTTGCTGTCATTAAGCACAGTTAAATCCTTAGATCAAGCTATTAAAAGGGCTGTATACTGAGACAACATTGTTTGGCTTCCCTATGATTAAATTGCTTTTATTGAATTATACATTCTTGCTAGGCTTCACCAACCATTGAAGCACGTTAGGAGAAACAGCTCTGTGAAATTCACTTTTGTTCTCATTGTTGTAATAGTGAAGACTTTGTCCCTATTTCAGTGTTTTCAAAGCATAAGCTTGCAATCCATTAGTGGATTGTGTAATCAATTTAGTGGTTTCAGCCAATGTTTCTTGGTTTTATATTGTTTATTTTGCTTTTTCGCTATATTTAAATACTGTTGAAATCATATTTTATATTAATATACTTTTGTTTATAGTAAGTGTATTGTTTCATGTAACTTTCGTTCTCCTTTTTTTTACATAATATGAGTATACTGGATTGCTATTCAAAATGTATTTCTTCCTGTGTTTTGTGATCCAAAACGTTTAAAAAAATATTGCATGCACGCTATCATACTTTGTCTTAAGGTGGACTCAAAGGAGATTTTCTCTTAGTCTCATCTGTAAAATGGAACTAATAATAGGGTTCTTATGAGGAGTAAATGCATATAAAACACTTAGAACAATGATTATCAAGCACATAGTAGGTAGTCAGTAGATACTAGCTGTTATTATTACCAAGAAAAGAGGCCTTCTTTAGAGCTAATGGTTTTTTTATTTTATGTACACTAAAGACTTTTGTCGTTAATGCTGCCCTTTACTTTGGCTGATAACATTAGGAAGCTCAGATAAATTTGTGGCAAAAGGTTAGCAACTAGTCTTTTGTGTATCTTCCCTTGGCCCTGATTTTGTCATTTAAAAAATTTCTGTTACATTTCTGAGCACCCCTCAACCCCTTCTAAAACATCAGAGTTATTAAAATGACATTTTAATTTAATTCCATCGTAATTCAGAGATGTTTTCATATTCATCTGTGTCAGTTGAAAGGTGGAGGCTTTTCTGAACATTCACTGCCTGTATTAAACTGTAGATTAACTCAGACATCCAGTGTGGTTAGTTGCTGTGTGTCAGCTTTTTATTATGGTTGAGTCTAATATGGAGAAGAGAATCACAGCAGCATCATTTGTCTGCTTCATTAAACAAGTTGGTAGGCCCAGTTAAACTTTTGCTATGTGAAATTCCAAGTTATAGTAGATTTCCTCATAGTGAACCTCTAGTAAACCTTTTTATGCAGTGAAATAAAAAGCAGTGCATCAAGAACTTTCATGGAATAATATGGTTCAAGAGGTTATTGTTTTCCATAATGTGTCATCACAATAACACTAGATTGCCTCCTCATTCATCCATATTAAGTATGTGTTTTTTTTTTTAATTTTTATTTTGATGCGTACTTACCAGTCATTAAATATTTCTGAACAAAATGGTAAAACCTCAGTTAACTTTAAATTTGTGATTAATTTAAGATAAATCCATTTGTGTGGTAAAAAAGCCTGGTCAAGGATGTATTGTTATAAAAATACAAGGAGTTGGAGTTTTGTGGACTCCCTCCAGGAATATACGTTCAGTAAGGCCGATTTCTTAGTTGCATGTTTTTAGAAATACAGTACTTTGCCACTTAGGAGTCTTTTAGTGATTAAATAATCCATTTAAATTTTCTAAAGCTGAAGAAAGTAATTAAACTTCTCTGACTATATTTAAGGTAAACTTTAAGAGATGAATACTTCAGTGTTTCCCAGATGGTTTTTTTGTACATTGCTTAGTGATTTATTCTCCTCTTAAGCCCCATCAGCAGGTGGAATAGAAAACACCAGCCATCTCCCACACTGAGCCCTTGGGCAGCCAAGGCATTATACTCCTTATTGCCTGCTGTGTCTGGAGGACCCGCACATCAGTCCCTTGTTTCTCAAGGTACTCCACAGTTGATGGGGGCACCTTCAAGGCCTCACTCATTTCTCAGCCAATCACAGGGGTCTGTACACCCGTCTTGATAACCTCCTCCATATCTGCAGGCTGCACACTAGGAGAATGCTCAGTTCTTACATCTCTCCAATCCCAAGCCAGACTGCCCCTCGCCACACTTCACAGTCTTTACAGGTTTTAGTAGAGTCTTGTACTTAGTTTGTCCCCAGGAGAGGGAAGCAATTTCAGGAGAACACCTAAGGAACTTATCTGAAATCAGATGTCTTCTCTCCTCAGAGTTGTGTGCCCAAATGGTTTTGTGCTTTCCTCTCACCTTGGTTTGTTCCTCCCAGAGTTTTTGAACGCAGACATCCTTAGAAATGCATAGTAAAAGATTATAGAAATCTTCCCCCTTAACACAAAAATTGGAGTATTAGATTTAAGTTTTACTACTTTTAACAGTTTGTGAGAATTTGTCTTTGATGGGAATTACTTTTAAAAGATGCAGAGGGTAGAATCCACAGATTGGAAATAGGAGTGGGAAAGAATAGTAGAAAAGAAGTAAAGATTTTTACAGTGAGGTCTAGATTGCAATAAATGATGAGGGAAATCCTAGCCTCAGGATAAACACCTGTATCTGTTAGGATGTTAGAATCTGAGATGTATGTATGTAAGAGGGCTGATGGCGTGTGCTTTGGTATGAAGTTATGTGGGCATAGCTTTGTAATCTAAGTTTTAAGAAAGAAATTGAAACAATATATGTTTTATATTAGAGGCGTTTAGATTTTTCTGTTGTGGTGAATTTGGAATATTTTCCCAGCTATATTGGAGTGGTTAATTTAAATAAAATCACTCTTTGTCTTTGGGATCATGAAGGAATCTGGGAAGTCAGTGTCCTGGGCATAAAATCAGAAATTCAGCATTGAATTTTTTTTTTTTTATCAGATTAAAATTATATAGAAAGGAAGTCTTAAGTGGGCAAGAGAAGTGGAGATTGACCTTGTTCTTGAAGACATTTCAGATGCCATTATGTACTTTTTATAGGGCTGTCTTTATTTTGTGAACATAAAATTATGGGGCTTTCTAAGGTTCACTTTTGATGAACTTTCTCCAACTCTCACCTTTCTCAAAGGTGAAATTTTCTTTCCACAAGGCAGCATGGCTCAAGGGAAGGAGTCTGTAGACTTCGGAGTCAGAAAGACTCGTGTTTAAAATTTAGTTTTGCCATTTAATTATGACTTGAATAAATGACTTCACTCTGACCCATGGTTTTATCATCCATAGTTTTATACAGTATTGTGTAAGTTTAGGGTTATTGTCAGGTTTAGGTGTAACATGTAGGAATTCAACAAATGGTAATTGCTGTTATCGTTAAGGTCGTTTTAGGAACCTAACTGGTGGTTGTGGAAGGATACATGGTATTTTACTTCTCATAAGGTCCATACACAAGTATACAATGGCTTTTAACATTGTAATTTTTAAAATTTAACTTAGGTTTTCCTATTAAGTTTGCAGCATTGTTTAGTGGTAGACTATTTTTCCATATCATCATACACTTTCAACTTTAAAAGGAATACAACTGGAGGGAGAACAGGCAATTTAAATTTTTCTCTCTAAAGACAAGTTATCAGGAAGGGAAAATTGCTTTCATTTTTGTTTTCTAATGCTCAGAATATATCAATAAGGAAAATATCCTGTTTCAAGATGAGCATTATTTCTTTTCAAGCCTCTTTGGGGAATTTTTTAAAAGTTTCTGTAATGTAACTGTGATATGTATTACAGTTACAGTGGTCAACACATTTTATTTCCATTTGTCAATCATTTGTTACTTCATTCGATTCCACAAAGATAACTTCAGTTGGAGACTACTAAAAAATTGTAAATTTAGAAGAAAAGCTGTATAAATACCTATAATTTAATATGATTGTTGGGTGTGTTGTTTCTAGCTTATTTAAGAAACTTAGTTTTTAATGGCAGTGCGAAGTAATGAGATCTAACTAAATCAGTGGTTTCTTTCTGTGTGTTGTGATCTGATTTTATTTTAAAATATATCGCAAAAGGTTTTAGATTTTATTTTCAGTTAATGTTTTCAAATAGCTAATTAGGTGAAACTGAATTGATTCAATTTTTATGTTACAGGAGATTGTCTGGGGCAATCGACGTTATTGGTCAGACTATAACTATCAGCAGAGTAGAAGGAAGACGACGGGCAAATGAAAACAGCAACATACAGGTTTAGTATTTTACAATCAATTATCATTTCTAACTGAAAGATTATATCCATGTTCTAACTTAATTTACTCAATAAATATGCTTTAGGTGCTACAAAGAGATTTAAAATGCAGACCCAGTGACCCTTATATTTATTTCAAAAGGTTTTCCCTTTATAATTTATAACATTTGGATCTTTTTTAGTAAGAGTTGTTGTGTCCCCCCCCCCCCCCCAATTATAAATGTATTCTATAGGTTCATTTAAAAAAAAAAAAATGAGAAAAGTTCAAGAAGATAATAAAGATCACCAGTATGTCTTCCACCTGAAGATAACCACTCTTAAAACTCTGGTCCATCTCTTCCTTGTCACTAAGCGTTATATTATGATTGTATTTTTGCGTATCCTCTTTTCATGTAAAATTGTCATTTGCATTTTTCCATATTCTTAAAAATACGATTTAAACTCTGTTCATGATAGCATCATTGTATGGATGTCTCATGATGTGACATTTCTGAGAGAAGTAGATTTCCTTTTTTTCCAAGTGAAAGAATGTAAAGAGGTGAGTTATAGGTTACTTGGACAACTTGATTAACTGAGACTTTCAGTGATCAAGTTATGCAGCTTGGTCACACTTTTTCATCATTTATTCCTTTTTTCTGAGTATTTTAAAAAGTGTCCAAGATATTTTAATTTTACTACCTTTAATAAATCAATCATGTAAAAAATATTCTTTCTGGCATTTAAAAATATAAATTATTTCTAAAATGAAAGATAGTCTTCTTTTTCTCTCCGTCACCGTTAAAATGCCATGATTTCCTAAAATAATTCTGTTCCTTACTTTAATTAGACATGCTTATTAGCAAAAGCATTATAAAAATTGCTGTACTTAAGTATAGGAAAAGTTAATTGAGGGGAGGGATTATATGCTCAAATGATCTGCTTTAGTCAGAAAGGATTTCAGAAGTATAAACTAAATATACAAAGTGGCTGTTTCTGCTGTATTTCCCAAACTTGTTGGCACATCACAGTCACTAGGGAGCTTATTGAAACTGCAGTTTCCTAGATGCCACTTTACTTGCTGTTGTCTTTCAGTAGGTTTGGGGTACTTCTTATGGTGCTTGTCTCTTAGCGGTTACACAGATAAGCATGTTACAAACTCTGCTTTATTTTATTTTTCAAGTATAAACCCCGTTTTAAACTTACAAAGTTCACATAAAAAAATTATTTACATATTTTGCTGTTTGTTGCTTACAACGTTCTAATCTTTTACTTCGCAACCTAGTGATGAAAGGCTCTTTACAGTGAATGTCTGACTATTCTTCCATGTTAATATCTTAGTTAGTATCTGTGATTCATGATTCCATTGTCTTGAGTACTTTTGTTAGGTAAAATTGATAAAATTCATTGTATTTATAAATACTTAATTGCTCTTTAGAATTTTTTTTGTAATAATTCAGTTCCTTCTAGGCTTTGAATATGAACATTTAAAAAAGTGTGTGAATATGTACACACACGTCAACACACAGAAATATTATCCCTCCAAATAAATACACGTATGTGAATAAAAATTTTGTTTCTTCGATTAAATGAAATTAATTTACTGATTTAATCTTAGATAAGAACATTTACTCATCTTTATAATTAACTATGCTCTAATTTTAGGTTCTTTCTGAAAGATCTGCTACTGAAGTAGACAACAATTTTAGCAAACCACCTCCATTTTTTCCTCCAGGAGCTCCTCCCACCCACCTTCCACCTCCTCCATTTCTTCCACCTCCTCCAACTGTCAGTACTGCTCCACCTCTGATTCCACCACCAGGTAAATAGTAAATAAGACATTTGATTTTTGGGG